ATCGCTATGGAACCAGGTACATTTTTCCATCAAAGAATTGTAAGGCGCCCACTTCCTCGAGAAAACGATGAATAACTCTTCAAAAAAGGTAAGAGAAATTAATCAATAAGTTTTACACTCCTTTTCTCCTATTTCCCTCGCTGCTCTTTCAAGCTACTCCTACAGCCAGTTTTTAGATGTTAAAAATGACTTATTTTATCGCTCGATAAAATGTTTACATTTTCAATCACTACTTTTAATATGCGCAATCTAAAGCAAGCAGAAATAAACAGCACACAAAAAAGGCAGAGAGATCATACAATAATTTTAATCGCCCATTTTCATCCCAACAGGTCTTTTCCGGAGCTGACTCTTTTACACCATGCATCTGTTGCTTTTTTAACATTCACCATTTCAGAGAGGAGAAAAAAAATTGAAGACATCAACAAAATACTATATAAAAATAGATTTGAGTGCGCTCGGTCGAGTTGCTATCCGCTCCAGTCAATCAGGGTCTCAAAGTCTTTCAAGGGCATCTCAGTTTGTATTCTTTGAGTTTCAATATAGTTCCATAATCATTAAATTGTTTTAGATATCTGTAATGTATCCATTAAATTTTATTTGACGAAAATGTTGGCTTACGCCCTTGGTATTCATTGTTTAAAAATTATAATTAGTGGAAATAAGTTAAGGTATCGATCAGGCACATTGACGACGTACAATGATGACTACTAAGTTTCGTCGAAAATAAATTTCCCGATTAATAGATAAGTCTTTAAAATTTAAGATCCGTGTTGGCGACCATTTACAGACAAAGCGTTGCTAACAGATCATAGAGAACACATCGCAAATTGATTCAGGAGTAACTCGTATGGTCCAATAATTCAAATGAGGCGAATATAGATGTTTTGCTAGCCGCAATCTTTACAACTGCCGAATTTGGAACGAATCTGGAGAGCTAGAGAGCACGCTCTTTTCAAAGTTGGCGTGGTAGTTTAAAAATATGGGGGTCTTAAAGTTTTCGGGTATTTGTTTTCGTAACATTCGTCTCCGCCAAAAAAAAAAAATATATATATATATATGTATATATATAATGAACCTGTTATAAGGAAAAACTACCAAATCTTTCGAAAATTGTGCTCATTAGTGCTTAAAAATCAAATACGGCCACCGCCATCTTGAATATTGATTGGCAACTTAGTTGCCTTCCTTTGGCGTAACAAAGGCTTATTGTTCCTTTTTCAGAACTACGCTAAAAAGGTGTCTCTGATTCTTTACTGATTATTCGATAACCAGAGCAGCTGCTGACTGTGAACCTCCCTTTGTGTTCGACCGTAAACGGCCAGGTTTATCAGACGATGTTCGAAACGACAGCGTCAATATAAGCCCATGACTATTTTAGAAGAGTTGCCTATTGTTGAGTGACTCACTTAAATCTCTAACCGCGATGAGGAGTGAATTCTCTTTTACCTGGTGGTAATAAAATTAAGTGGTTTCTCGAGTAATTCTCCTTGTGAAAGTGGCCGATGGTTGCATCATTTGGGCAATTTTGTCTTCATAATGAGCTCCATGAAATGTGACCAAAAATTTCCCTAAATGCCACTTTTCACAAGTGGACACCATTATTTATCACATGAGGTTCAAGGTGTATGTCTGTCGAGATAGGCAAGGTTGGTCAACAATAGATAACTATAGTTAAATCTCCGACCTGCGGGTCTTTAAATCATTTAATTATTGTGGTCCAATTCCTCTTCGCTCGTCCGTCAACGATGTCTATGTCATCGTCGTCGGCAAATTCGTCCTTCACTTCGTGACATCTACCACCTCTCCTTCCTCTCCTCTGTCTCTGCCTTTTCAAAACCCACCTCAACCCACCCATTCCTTATTTCCTTTTCCAATTTTTCCCCTCCTTCTCTTGCTCTATCTCTGTAATTCAACAGCCTTACGTCCGCTACATTCTACTGAGTTGCGAGTCAAGAGATAATCTTAACATGAAGCAAACACAGCAGATAAATGCATCATTATGATAGATCATTTTAAGGGATTTTATTGTTTATAGTTCTCATGATAGACCTTTACAATGGCTATACATAAATAAAGGAAAATGATAAACAAATATTTGTCGCTTGGACGGCTATTCCTTTCAGATACAAGATGCACGGAAAGCCAGCCGTGACAGCCGTCGAAGCAGAAAACAGGAACGGTGTTCCAAGTGTTCTCTACACGGACTCACTCAACGAACACACGAACAACTGAAGTATCGTTAAAACTCTGCAATAACACAGCATGATAGGATTACTGAATAACTTTTCATCCGAAAAAGCGATCCCGCGGAAGCATAGCCTCTTTCTAACCTATATCAATGTGTCCCAAATATGCAGGGCAGGGAGTGTATCCTGGGGTAGATGTTACTCCCCCCCCCTCCCCCACTTTGAAGCTGATCTTGCTTACGCCCTTGGCATTCAGTGTTTCTAAACATAACGGGACGTCGCGGCTCACTAAGTCTCTATAGAAAATTGGCTGCCAATAAACTGCCAGCGAGGGAGGATCAAATGAAAATCACAGAGCCTTAGCTTTGGAGGATCAGGTAATTTATATCGTGACATAACAAAAATCCTCCAAGCTCCCGACCTCCTTGAGATAATCATGACCATTGCACTTAAATTCGTCAAACATTTTGCTACGATGAAATCTGCCAAATGGCTTCCTCTTTCTAAATTGAATTTCGTCCAATTTCCGGTACACAATAGAGAACATTGGACAAAACCTTGATTTTAGTATGTATCTAAAAAGGACGAGGATTTTACGAGGAATTCATGATTGGCTCTAGAGAAGGTATTATTGTAGGTAAATTAGAACGGGGTGTCCCGAATATTTATTTGGGGGGTTATAGTTCCTTTGAATAAAATAACCTCGTAATTGAGGTTTGCTCATTAAATCCTCAGAGCAGTTTTTTTAGCGGAATTAGCTAAATACGAATAACAATCCTAAACGTTTAGGGAAATTTGATTACAGATGTTCTAACAAGAAAGAAGATTGACACAAAAACACACTCACGGCTAAGCATCACTTTTTGGATTTATCGTCGGTATCTTAGCAACTGTGGCGGTGTTGTTCATAACCAAAAATGCCTACCTGGTATGGCACATACACAAGAACAAAAATGAAAGCCATGTTAGAAGCAGCCTTTGCCCTTATTGCTTCAGTCGGAGGTTATTTGCCAAAAGATAATGCAGTTTATCATGACATAAATCGTTAGTGAAGCTGTACATGTCCAAGATGTTTATGGGCAAGAAAACTGGGCCGAGTTCATGAAAACTTCGAAGTGGTCTTTCGCGGTTTGAATTGCTTCAATTGGGTTTTCTCTTTTTGTTGTTGCTGATGTTGTTATCTCTTTGTTTTTATTATTAATTTCTAGTTCTCACCAAAAATTTCCAACGATTTCCTTGTTATAATTTGTTAAAACAACTATCGACAAAAGACAAAATTTCTCACCATTCTCAACCATGTTAACCATGCACCTTTGTTATTCTAAAGCTTTTCTCACATATCGCTTTCTGCAAGCTACTGACCTAAAAGCTCTGAAACTCTTTACCATCCTTTATGCGGAATTGGAAGCTTTATAAATTGAGTTCGCTTCTTCAAAGGGTTCACGTGAGCATTGTCTGGATTTCAAAAGTTATCGTTTTGATACTTAAGAAAACAAACCCAGATATATCTAATTCGGCGAACTTTGCGATAACTTTTAATCAGAGGTTTGTACTGAAACGGAAGTAAACAGAGTACAATTTGTGATAAAACAAAGTAAGAATATAGAATTCTAATAAAAATAAGGGATTAATTTACAATATTGTGTGTACTGAGGAATCATAGTAACCTTTATTCATTCCCAGTATCTTTTATTTTCACTGGTGATAATTTAGGAAGGTACACGTATCAAAAATCTAAGCATCGTAATGAATGTCTATTCCGGCTCTTTTGTCGAGTCCCAACGTGGAAACAGTGTACAATGATACAATTATCATATTGTTTTCAGTTTGCCTGTTGTTCTCGTCGTTGTTATTGTTTCTGCTGCTTTTTTTTCTCTTGTTATTGTAACCGTTTTACATATTCACAGCAACAGTGATATGCTTGTTCACTAACATTGAACTCTGTTATTTTGTTAAACAAATACGGATTCAAGGGGACCCCCAGGGAAATACCAGCAGGGAAGCACAAGAGAGTCCTTTAGCAAAATTTGAAAATCGTCAGAAGTTGCACCAAAATGCACCATAAATGTAGGTTGTAATTCTAATGCATTTTAACCGTAGAAATCAATAATGATTAAGCTTTCTCGAGTTCCACCGGAAACAAGAACATTTGCGTGGATACCAACGCAATCGGACCGCAGTGAGGTGCCTCCTGAGTTCTTGCTTTCACCTCAGCGGAAACCTGCGTACATGCGTCACTGGACAAGACTTCATTGCCGAAATTTTAGATGTGCTTCAACGCTGGCTCTTGAAATACGTTTTCCACTTCAAACTAACTGATGCATGAACTTACACATTCCGGGTTTTTGAGGGTTTTCTCTGGCCATTAAGACCGTTACGTACAACTTGTGCGAATAAGCAGGTGTCTCTGTTGGTGTGGTCGTTCATAGTATTATTTTTGGTTACTTCTTTGTATGGACTAATTCATAAGAGAAATCGTGACCATGTTAGCTTTCCCTTAGGCAATGATAGTGTGTCAGTTCAGCTCGAAAAGACTGGAAGAATTGGGGCGCCTGGGTCGTCGAGGCAGCCGTTCTAACTTTGAGCATGCTTCAGTTTTCACGTGCCTCACGAAAAGAGTTTAGATCGGAGTTTTTTAAGATATTTGTTCAAATAATTTGGATGAGCTCTACTACGGATAAAAATTAAATCAAAACTGCTCAACAAATCATTTATCACGTCCTCTTCCAACCTGCCATGAATGACATGATTATTACACATCGCATGACATGACTATCAATCATAATTTTTTAATGAAAACATTAAAGCCAAACCGTTCTAATTAACTAATTCAAAACACAGTGGGGAGCAAGAAAGCATGCAGAGAACTGCTTAAGTTTATTTATAAGATCAATTTTCCCTTTCCCCTCGATTGCCTAAGAATAAAAACGAGCGCCAAACGTTTCTAAGATGTAGGACGTTTTAATACGAGCAATATGAGTTGCCTGTGGCTTTTTAGGAAAACAAATGTTTCGTTATTTGGGTTGTAACATGAGTTTGTCATTCTCATTATGATAAGTTTTGGCAGCCCCCTGGCCTTGCAAAGATGTTTTAACAACCAAAACTTCCATTTGCTGAGTTAATTTTCTAATTTAGAATATTCTTGCAAATGTTAATGGATACTTTCTCGTATTGGCCTATTTTTACAGTCACATAGTAAACAAGGGTAATAAACTTCGGTCTTCTCATTTAGACTAACTTTTTTCGAACAAACCTTCATTGATTTGAGTATTCCTTTGTCACTTCAGTGAGTAATAGAAACCATCCGATACATTCCGTGGTCTTCGTGGGCAATAATGTAATGTTTTTACGGCAGGGGGCACAAAAATCATAAATAAAATTGTTTAGCTTAATGAACACCAAATGAAACAACTCGATATACAAATGATTTGGCTTAAAAAGGTCATCTTAAGATCGCCAGCAGGCACTTGTACTCGCTAATCTTGAACATATGTTACTCTAATACCTAACCAAACAACAAAATTTCCTCTTCGGCTTAAGATGTTCGGGAACATGAATTGCAAAGTTAATATAAGTTGGCGAAATTTGTTTTAGCAACAATTCTTAGCACACAGCTAGGGGAGGGTACGGACAAAACGGTACTTACTAAGGGTGGGAAGTGGGTTTGTCCTAAATCAGCACTCCACTTTTCAACGCCTATCATGCGTACGAATAAATGAGAGGTCAGTTCCGTTTCGAGTGTCGGTGTTCCCAAGAGCATTTAAGAATTAGAGGGGTTAAGATATAGCCATAAAGCCTTTACCAGCGTCTGATCCTTGTGAGGGAAAGTTATAAGATTGGAATTTCACATTGCTGTTTTGCGAGGCGAGAGGACTTGTACCCGCGAAAGTGATAATACTGTGTGGGACTCAATCTGTCAACAGCTGTACACTCAGTATTCTCACCATATTGGTTTGCCGTGGGCTAAAATGACAGTCTGATATTCGTCGATGAAAACATTTGTTATTTGTGGCTGAAGGATTAAGGAGAACCAAAGCGTTTCCGGTGCGTTTAAAGACTTCGCTGGAGAGGAAGCTGTGAAATATTCTTCTCTCCAACTGTGGTGAACGGAACTGAGGGAAAAACCACAGCAAGAAAACTCGCCTCACTTCACATGACTTGCGTCGTTTAACGAGAACCTACACGATGCCGCGACGAACGTATTCCTTCTTATTACTTTTAGCTCAGATCGTCGCTCTTTTCGATGTTTTGAAGGGTGCTGTTTATCCATCGATTCACTGGTCTCCGCAAAATCCTCTGTAAGTCAAACATTTTCTTTACTCATTTGTGTGTAATGATTTAATAAGATTAAGCACGCAGAATCATTGGCTCTTCTTGAATATCACTCGCTGCCTTGTGGAGTTTCATGTCCTTGCGCCATGTCCGCGTTTCATTTTCGTGTTTCTGTGATTACATTTTGACGGTTTGAGCCTCTGACACTAGTTGATTGCACTCCCTATAGAAATAGTTCAATTTTCTATTGTCTTGTTCCATAATTACCTGTTTTGTGCGGTGCTTTTATGCTGTTCGATCGTAGGACAATCAACGTTATCAGATCGATCGCGTTCGAGGCAACTACTTCGTAAATTTATTGGCGGTTTCCCTTATCTTCATATGTGTCGAAAGTTGCTGATAACACAATGGGGAAACTTGAAACTAACGCTATCGCGATTGTATTTCTTCAGCGTGAATTGGGAATGTCTCATCTTTGTTTTACTTGCGAATGGACATGATTCACACTGCATTTGTTTAGTATTTTTGTTGAAATAATAATTTAGCATTGCGAGAATCCGCTCCTACATGGTTTTATCTCAGATTGCCAAACAGAGCTGTCGTAAATCTTTATTGTTATTTCAATCCCTAGCTATCCTTGTTAGCTTTTGTTTGGTTTCGCTCATGTCGCGCGTTGTTTACATTAGCCTTGCGTTCGGTTTTGCGTCCGCGGTGCAATATGTGCTTTGTCAAAATAGAGTACACGAAACTTAACGCATGATATAGTTTACTACTCTTTTTAGACAAGCATAATAAAAGTCTGACACGTTGTTAATCAATATAAGACCGATGACCTTTCCAAGTTCATGGAACAGCGCTAACCCAGTGTGTTCAAGACGAGAGCAAGAAGAAGATTTAATAAATTTGGCATTCCTAAATAATGGATGTGTACACAGTTTGTGCTGCACTAGAAATTCTTAATTTGCAAGATATTTTCATTCAGTGGATACTGCATAATAAAAGTCGTGTTTTGGTTATAAACGTATTCAAAAGTCATGGCAGTTTCAAATAAAACAGCTGGGTAAACTAGAATTCAGTTTAACAGTGAGGAAGGCAGGACACAAACGTATCTATTCATGTTCAAACCAAGAATAAACGCTGTTTAAGTTTCACAATACTAAGAACACAAACCGGAAACTCTATTTGCTTATTTCATATCCTTAAATCAATTTTACTTTAGCTGCTTGACATAAATTTCCCTGGTCGGTTTTGGCTGTGTGATTTCAAACAAAGACGGATGACCTATTGAATTGTGCGAGATGACCCAGTGCAAATTAAGTTTAATAAAAATGCGGTCCCTCAGAACAAAAGAAGATATGGCGGTTTAATTTGGCCAACGGTGCGCTCAATACGAAGACGGTTGATTAACTCAGCAGATGCGAGACAAAGGCGAAACAATTTTCACGTTGGACTTTTAGGGATCTTTCTTAGGGGTAATCCTGTTTGCGGAGAAAATTACTTAGTCTGCAAACTCTAGGAATTTCAAATCCCCACATGTTTTTTCAGTTATTCCGTTACTGCAAAGGATAACAACGTTGACTTGTCGACATAACTCGATTATCACACGAAGAAGATCAGATCCACAGCCAAAAATCACATTATAAAACTACAAAATTGTGCTCAACATTAGAGGAGAGATGGCAAGGATTGCCATAACTTTTATTGTAAGCAGATCACCAAGAGAGAACAAGTCGCCATATTGATAGCAGCACTTAATATACTAATACGTACAACTTACATGTATTTCTCCCAAAAAAGGGGACATTTGATAGTTATAGTTATCGAAATTGCCCAAAAAAGAATTTGACATAAAATTAGAACGTGATGAAATGATATATGTTGATGTTAGTAACCTAATATTGTAATTCACCTCAAACCCCAGTCAACATTTGTCAAAATACGCGCGGAGATATAAGCTTGTTTGCTTTTTCCAAGTTCACTCTTGTCAGACCTTTGAGAAAAACATCCTTGAATATGGCGTCATTAGACAGATTTAAGATTTTTTAGGAGTTTTCGAGCTAAATTTGACACAGCGAGTACGTGTGAAAATGCGAATACGATATAATTGTGAACACTCTGAACACCTTATTGGGGTAATCGATCTGAATTTTCTTTTTCTCGTCACTCAACGAAATCCAAACAGTTAGCAACCAGCTGACAAGAAGTACTTCTTAAAAATTTTTCTCCGAAAGAACTGACCTAATTTTAAGGAAACTGAGGAGATAGATGAGAGACAGAGAGACTGAACAATTCAAAATAAACCCCTGTCTAGCACGTCCAAATCACAACCTAAAATGTTTACGATATGAATGTCGGATTGTTCTGTCGAACTAATGTTGTCTGAGCTGACGTCTCGGCCGGAGTTCCGGCAGTCCGACTGTTACGAAATGGATGAAAATTTGTCGTTGGTGAGGTCATGAGCAGGTTGTTGTACGGGGCTAAATTACAGAAATATCTTCACGAATGAGATAGTAGATTCGCAGCGTTCGTTTGTTCAATGAAACGACACTCTTTCAGGATAATTTTAACTTAGACCCTCTCGAACTTAGCGCGCAATCTTTTTAATCTCGCGTGTACTTTGCGCATCCCTATTAAAGGATTACAAATAAAGGTTCTTTGAAAGGGATAGTGTAGGTCATGTATCCGATATAATTCAAGTTTTACGTCTAAGACAACTTTCCAGTGTAAGATACGTGATGGACAGTTGGAAGGTTTCCTACGCAATACAGAAATGTCACTTTTTCCACTAGAGAAAAAGGTTCTTGATTTTTATGTAATAAACTTTGAACGCTAACTTTTCTCAAGGGTTTTTTTTTTTCACTCATTTAACCCACAAACAAAATATAGTGAAGTTTCCTTTAATGACCACTGGGTGGAGTGATATTATCGACATGAGCACTGCACATCCATATCTGTGGAAAACCGAACCTTGTTGAGGCTTTTAGCCCGAGTAATAACATGCATCTGTTTATTTTCTTCCTCTAGATTTATCAGTCCTCTTTCATTCCAATATGCATCGTTTTCTTTTCACGGAAATAAGTTGAAGCTCCAAATATCTCGCCAATGGTAGGAAAAAGGGGGCTTCGCTGTTTTCAATTCGTGCAAGTCGAGTGTGCATCATTTTCCTGTCACTCATGAATTAAAACATGTCACATTTTAAGTTAGAAACTTGAATACGTTCTTGAAAGCGAATGACCTTACCCTTTCGGAGAGCCATAAAGGAGCAAGAGATAAAATCACATGATAATTATGTGTTTTGGAAGATATCTGTCAAGACAGGATTAACGAGGAATACAGACTATTTTCGGCTGAAGGGATCTGATTTCGTGCATATGGTTTCAATTTGTCGGAGAATTTCACAAATTTGTAACCCCTCGGGTTGGAGCGAAGATTCCAGGGATGACCTTAAACTACAGTAATTTCTATTTATGCATCCATTCCGAGTGATTTTTTTCCTTCAAAAAAGGCATTCTCCGCAATGATTAAAAAAGCAGAAAGATACCGATATAACAAGTTTGGCCATGTTCCTCTTTCGATCATAAGTGTTTATGCGGTGGATTTCACTTAAGATTTCTCGCACAATTTAGCCCCACTTCAAAGGTAGCAAAGTAGCCAAAAGACATTCAATATCAGTTGTTTTTCCTTTTCGGCAAAATATTCCCAACCTTATTTGTCAAGAAACATCAATATATTTACGAAGATAAAATGTTTTCGCGTCATATCTACAGGTGTGACTATAAGTACGGCGGCGGATTTGGTCACGCATATAGTCACAATCTTGATTTTCTTTCGATCCGAGCTAAACAATATCGCTGGCGGTCTCTTTCTCTCCATATTACTAGTTTTGAATGTTTCAACTTAACGTTCTCTTAAAAGTTAAACAAATTCCGAGGTCTGTCTCGTTTAGACCACCAGCGCCTATGTTTACACAGTTTTCAGTCTAGCAGGATGTTTTTGCGGCCAATTTGGAAAACATTGTCGGTGTATTATTTGCGAATATAAGATTAAAAAAAATATTTTAAATGAATGAATGTAATCAATTCAATCTCAGTTTCCTATATTTGTTTTGGTTTCTTCAGTTATGTCTGATTTTGGTGGCGTTGCGGTTTTCATTGCTAGGGGTACGGATAAATTTCGGTCTTCAAACGTTATAAGATACCTGTCCGTGAGGAAGGCTGTTATACTGAAATTTCCAGACCTCGCAGGTTCTCCTAGATGTTAATTACATCAATGGATTTTCTCGCGTGATTTTCATGGAAAGAAGTAATTAGTTATCATGGTTATCTCATATCACGCCCATAAAAGGGGTTTCGGGAAAGCGTAGGAAAACTTTTAGGATTTGTTCTGGTTTGGTGTTTTTTCTCACGTGTAAACAAAAAAAACCGACAATAATAACGCGCCTTGTCGGAAAATTGGATCCTGCCCCCTTAAAACCACATCTGTTTTTCCATCAAAATCCTCGATGGGGCCCAATTAATTTGCAGAATACGAAATATTTTATGTTTTTGGAATAGCAGACAAATTAGTCTTTCTTTGCTCTCCCGCAAAGGGTTTTCAACGCCAGCGAGTAATTGAGTTAAGTGGCACAGGCATATGGCATATACGTTACACTTCTGTCATTCATGCGCATATCACAATATAATTGTGAAAGACTCGACATGCCCCCTCATTGGTCGGAAATTACGTTTAAAAAAAAGGAAAGAAAGCGTGTGAAAAACAAATGGTTCATTAAACTCTCCCTACAGCAAATGCCTTGAACTTTTCGGCGCACTTTATAAATTTTGTTTTGTAACCATTTCGTAACGTAAAAGTGGAAGCATGTTTGACGCATTTAATAAGTTGTTAGCGTCATAATACGTACAGTAAAGGATAGAGAGAGCGCAACAAACAAATGGTTTCTCAATTCCCCCATCATTCCATTCTACAGTCCCTTTCAATAAGCACTTCAAAAATTACAAAATATCAGAGTGTACTCTTTATAGTAAGATCGTCCGACCTCATTTCCTCCGCCCACCCATGAGTTACACCCGTTTACCTTGAGAAGAAAAATTTTTGTTCTCTAATTTGTCGTAACCTCTAAAGCACTCTATATTTCGGGCCCTCATATAGAGACATCGTCCGTCCGCCTTTTCAATACATAGAGAACAAAACATACTATACAAAACTTATATTTGGGAATAGAACTTAATTATGTTCCTCACCAATTTCTTGACGTAGTTTTCTTGTCTCAATAATTTCTAAGTAGTTTTTTCGCATTAGACTAATTTATACTTTCAAACCAAAACCACAGTTTTCGAATTTGATCCACTTTTTTTAAACGTACGTGGCCCTTAGAGGTTCTAGGAACGGCTTTCTTTCTGTTTGCATTTTCTTTTTGTCGTTGCCTGAAGAACTGATGTATGTGCGTGTTGTCAGATGTTTATTTTTCTGATCATTCTCCTCAAGGGTTCTTGAATATAAAGCTCATTTCCGTTGATTTTCTTATTTTGCCAATATTGTCTAGTCATTTGGATAGCTCATAAGGATGAGCACCACCTTGATAAAGTTTCTTGCATTTCATTATAATTCTAATTGTTTGAAAATTTTTGTTTAACCCTCTTTTAGGTTTGGCAATGGTGACAGCGTTCTCAATGTCCTTCCGATGTCCAAGCTTCACATCGTTTGTCCGAATCCGTCCACAATCTTGAAAAAGGTTCGAGACAATACGCCCAAAGACAAACTTTATGAAAATGTTTGGATTGTGTCACGCGACAATTATGACAGCTGTAGTACAGACTCTTCTAAGGGGAGTAGGCTTCTTCTACGATGTACCACCCCCCTGGCGCTGAAGTATTACACTCTGGTGTTTCAGAGGTTCAGCGCTGTGTCAAGCCAGGTGTTCAATCCGGGCCGAGAATATTATCTTATAGGTATGTTTCCCATCGAATAACACAATTTTAGGTACTTTTTTCACGCCTCAGTCAGTGGAGGTTAGGGTTAGCGTTAGGGTTAGTGTTAGGGTTTCTTGAGTTAGACTAGCAGCCCTTCCAGGCAGAATGGCATTACTCTTTATTGCATTATTATGCGGAAATCGGAAAAAAGCTTCGATGGAATGGAAAAGTTCATAGCAATATTAACTGCTACAATACTCTATAGTTTCGTGATTTACTTTTACTCTACGAAATCAAACTCCTAGTGGTAGTGGAAGACTTTTAACACCGGTAAAAAAACCGATTGTTTTTTCAAAATGCCTTTTTTGTTTTGTTTTTTACTTTAAATCATCGCTGAAGACATTTGCAATGTTATGCTGTTCACATTTCAGCGACTTCAGATGGCACGCAAGGTTCAATAGACAGTCGATCAGGAGGAAACTGTAAACATAACAAAATGAAACTACGGATATATGTTTGTAAAAACACTAAAGGTGAGAACCTGTAGTTAGTGAAAAGTACGGTAGAATAAGAGACAGACCAGTGGCGTATGTGGGCAAGCCACAGTAATGTTTTAAATGACCTAAAACTTTATTTTCAACATGCTGATACGTTCATGCAGAATTTTTCTTTTTCCTTAAAACGCAACATTCCTGTCCAATATGTTTTCACCTTTCAGAATGTGATATTTGATTTGTTGAAAAGATATATGCTAATTTGGATATCGTTTATTAAACGTCTGAAGAAGTTTAAAGTGGAACAATAGAACGGGGAGTTGCGTTTCTGACATGAAGGGTGACGAGATTCTTAAAAATTGTTGCGTCCGAAGATGACTTTTGCTGTGATAGCCGAAATTTCTAGATCTTTTTTTTTACTGGTAGTTTACCAAGTTTGTATGGTGTCCATCGCACCAGCTATACGTTACTAATGTTTTTATCGTTTTTCTTTTTTTTCTTTCTTAAGATCCCCGATGCAACCGAAAACCTACAACCACTGCTATTAAAGCTCCAACGACTTCAACTACAACTTTAAAATCTACCATTCCATCTACGGCTACAAGCTCCACAACCACTTTTCAAACTACTAATTCAACCACTACGAATGCACCCACTGAGAAGGTCACGTTGTCAACAAGAACAACAAGCACCAGCGAATCGTCCACAAGAACAAAAGCTGCTGAAGAACTGGCCACGACTACAGACGCAGATGTAGTTGGTCGCCCAGTGAATGCTGAATTGAGCAGTCCTATAAAACCAGGTAAAAGACAGGGCTCTCCAATAAGTGCTTCATTGCCAAGCTTCGTCGCCAGAAATATAACCTTCCGATTACTGGTGCGGATGTCCCAGTATCTAAACTGTAATGAACTTCCTTCAGACTGTTGCCATGATGCAATTATACCCAAAAAAATTGATAGGATGCGTTCAGTTCAAATGGTTAGACGTTTTGTCGAGATTAAAATTCTCCCAACTAGTCGCATATCTGGCTCTCTTAATGACAAATCTTAGCACTCTTCGTACGGTTTCACACCTATTCCGCATCTACTTTCGTATACACGTGAAAGGCACGTGAAAATCATTTGGAAAAAAGAAAAGGGAAAGTATTAATCCTTTCACACAGTGTTTTCACATGCCTTTCAATCAGTTCTTGAGGGCGTACATGTGATAAACTTGCACTCGCGTGAGCACCGAAGAGCGTTGGCAGTGATTTGCGGCTGAACCAAACCCGAATTTTTAAACGGAGGCCTCCCACAGAGTACGTGCATAAACACCATTCACACGTGAGGTCTGACCAATGTTATATTTGTTCAGTTTCAGAACTTAATTGGACGATCATGATTCCTTTAATGGCCTGCCTTCTGCTGTCGATCATGGTGAACATTATTTTGTTTTGCCGTCTGAAAAAACGAAAACAGGGATATGATTTAGAAGAGAGGAAACCTAAAATGATTGAAGCAACTTCAGTAAAACACCAGGAGAAGGACAGAATAGAACCACGAGTGGAAAGAACTTGGCTACTATGCAGACGATCGGCAGACGTCACAGACGTGTGAGATATTTAAGTTGTTGAAGAAAAGGTGCAGTAAATGGAGCGAAAATGCCTCGATGTGGGCGATTCAGCCGTAACTGGTGATGATATGATCAGATGTTGTCCAGTTCAAAGATGACAACTAAGACGGGAGGAGTTTCCACCAATCAATGCTTGGCAGCTGGTAGGCAGTAGAAAACGCCAAAATAGAATCAGCTGTTGTGTTCATCTGTCCAGATTAGTTATTGAGTTCTTTGGTATTTCACATCTACGTTATATTCTTGTCTGACTGTTCATCGTGAACTGACCATGGTCGAAACCATGAAAATTGTGAGGTAGTTTTCTTTTCATCTCAGTAGGTGTTTTTTATTTGTTTTAACATTGCTTTCGAAGCCACCCTTCGTTAGCTCTCTTGTGAACTCTTGGTTATTATATTCTGTGATAGCTTTATTACCAATCATTAGAGTTGTCTGTAAGGCTTGAGTAACAGCTTCTGACACAAAGACTCCTAGGACCACTTCGGGAACCATCAACCTCTACCATTAAATTTTGGCCCGAAATGATGGTGTCTAGCCCCTGAACGATATTTAGGATTCAGTAGAGCGCTTCAGTAGCTTTCAGAATTGGTTTTATTTGAAGGAGAAGTTGTTTTACAGTGATGAAAGATAAAAACGCATCTTTTTTTTGGCCACCAAAGAGAAAAGTTGATGGTCACAGTTTCACTAAATTCAACTTCTGTCAGTCGTGGCGTATTTGATCGCACTACAACAAAAAATCAACAAAAAATTAAAAAAAAAAATTAAGAAGCCACAAAACAGCAATAGAACTAACATACAAAATTTGTTTTTGAAAAAAAGAAAGAAAACACCACTAGCTCTAAACACCCATCGTTTACTTTGTTTGTCGCAATACTAGCCCGCCCTCCTGTAGTGATTGATGATTGTCGAGATGCAGCCATTGTTGCGTCGTAGTGAGGCTGAGTAAGCTTTCCCAGAAGATATGTCACTGCTTTGACCGATAAGCCTCCGCGTTGGTCCTCATTATAAGCACTTCGGTGCGAGTGTTTCCGCCGAAAGTACGCGAGGAACGCGAGCCGACGAAGGGTTTGCCGTGGTCTTGCACTGATAATTAGTGCTAATTAAAAGTAATTTCTCCCCAACTTGTCTTGAATCTTCCTGCGGGCGGAGAAACGCGCTTCCTGCAGCGCTTATAATAAGGGGTTGATCGCAAGCTATTGAACAATGAAATGTCCCAACTGTAGCGTTGGTTATCGCGTTTATCTTCTCTTTTGTGGTTTTTGTTTTGTGGCTCGTTTTATTATTTTTATACACATGATATATATATATATATGTATATATATAACAGATATTTGCCAATTATGATGGTGTAAATAGTTTGTATTTAATGAAGAATATTTTGAAGAAAGACATTTGAATGACATGTAAAAAGACTTAAGCACATGCCAACCGGAAATAAAGTCGAGTTAAAATTTTATTCTGGCTGTAATACAGAATCAAATCGTTCTCTTTATACACTTTAAATCCATTTACGTGTTAATATAATTATCATTACTTTGGTAGAGATATTTAGGATGTTATTTCGCTGAAGATTATTTCTGTCTTGTGTTGCGTGTCACACTCCGTAAGTGAACGTATCTTAGTTTCTCACCTCTTGCTTTTTGTAACCCTGATTTTAGTTAAATTTTTATTCGAAAGTCGTTATCTTTCAAAAGGTCCATCTTTTATTTAACAAATAAAGAAGGCTGGACTGTGTTCTATTCTGTTGTAAAGCACGCTGGAAGCGGCTAGAGCACGGAAGAAGAGTAGTCTCCCTGCGAGCGAAGAAACACTCGTGCGGCAGCGCTGATAAGGAGCAACTGTTACAAGTTACATCAGATAAGTGCGTAGATTTTTTCTGAGCAAATGCAGTCTACGTTAATCTAGTCTACTCACGTGATAGCAATCATTTTTCTTAGCCACTAAAGCGTTGTAATTAATACAGGATACACCGTTTTATTCTTTGCTTTGATTCGCATTACCTATTGAAAGGAAAATTTTCCTCCACAAAGGAAAACAAATTGATTCTGATCTTTTGAGCCTAATCGGCACCTGGTTCAATAAAAATTCCTTTAAGCATGATCATCAGACCTTATACATATATGCGCTTATTTGAGATCTCGCGGTTATCTTACTATATTATTAATCAAATAAAATGAGGTTTTTGCTTCAGCGTCAGGGTGTCGTCATCAAGCTTCTCCATCGTTGACCTCTGTGATATTTGTATATGTCCTCTGAATTAAATCATTAGAATAAATTAGTCACAAAAAAATTTGAATAATGATAGAAACAACGTATAAGAACTAAATCTAATCGAGAATGGACTTAGGAACAAGCAAAAGAAGGAACGGACGAAAAATAAGGTCATATAGATAGACGGGAAAGGATGACTATGTGTACGAATGGATGGGTGGATAGCTGCAGTTGACGATAAAAGGTTTATCAGAAGGACTGACAAAGTGACAGAGGGATTCATGAAAGGGTGAAGGGAAGTAAAGATGAATAAATGGAAGGAGGAAGAAGAGGGCAGATATAATTTTTAGAACAGCGAAAGGAAGGGAAGAAACCTTCTAAATACAACCATTAATTACCTTCACTTCTCGCAAAAAATTCTTCAGCTGTTGAGCGATCTGCGAAAAGGCTGGTCTCATCAAAGGATTTTCTTTCCAACAAGAACTCATGAGTTCATATCTAAAAAATTCAATACAGTATTAGCTAACATTGTCTTGCAACTGATACTCTCAACATCTGAATTGACCATACCAAGCGTTGAAAGGGGTGCAAAGAGGGGATTTTGAACTCATGACAATGATCATCAAAAAGATCACATATTGGCCGAATGTGACATTTGATTTGAAGTACAAATTGTCAAATCACGACTGATTCAATGCATCGTTTTGATTTTCAACGAGAAATATTGAGTGTCAGCGGATCTTGCGAGACTTTGCTCGAAAGGTAAAACGCTTTTCAATTACTTTTAGAAAAATCCGGGAGATAAACGTCCATTTTTTAAAGCCTTCTTGATATTCAATGATTCAATTGAATTTTACCAGCATTATTTAGGGCTTTATAGCTTACAGTTCTTCCGAACATCGATCGGGACGAGGCATCCGGTATCCCGAAGCAAGTCGAGTTACTAAGGCAATTGGCCCTGGGATGTCAGAGTATGGCAACTCACCTGTTTGGCGGAAATAAGATATGATTTAACGATTTCAGTTTTTAAAGAATACCATTTGAGACAATAAGTATTTCAGCAATAACTTTGTGAATAAATAGAGACTTGCAAAGGCTTTATGTGGATGATTTAGGTAGATAAAATTAAGTGCAGCACTGTGACAAATAAGATATAGCACGTATAAAATGTTTGACACGAGCTCAACCTATACCTGGAAGCGGTCTTCTCATCTTGTTTAGTTTCGTCTGACTGGCAATAGTCATTTTCAAAATGAAGATACTAGTGTCTATATTGTTAGCTTTACAGAAGAGCCTTGCTAACTTTGGGTTGCTTTACGGATTGGAGCCCCATGACGAGAATATGATTTGTAGTTCATAAGATGTCGTTTAAGTCGTACATAGTAACACATCACACTTACCATAAGAGGTGATTTCCCATAGAACGATACCAAATGACCACCTGCAAATAAGTATCAAGGCCTTAGCCCAAAACAGAATTTCTCCTTACAATATCAATACAATATCAAGCAGGCAAGTGATGTGATTTAAAAGGAGACGGTTTAATTTTTAAAAAAATTACCAATAAAGAGATTATTATAGTTGAGCCCAAACCAAATTCTCCGAATAGAAGCTAAAGAATTGTGTGGCAGACAGTAAGGAGAATTAACAATGA